GAGAGAGAGAGAGAGAGAGAGAGAGAGAGAGAGAGAGAGAGAGAGAGAGAGAGAAACGGCTAACATTGTCTATTTCTCGAAAAACAACACAGCGAATAATTGCTGCTAGTCTCAATCTACTCGCGGCTCCCGCGAGGACTGTAGTGTCCTTCCCGGAGGCAACTCGTCCACTGACTGACTGGCTGCTGGACTGACTGAACTGGCCACAGTCCGTGAGGCGCGCTGAGGAAGCTCGGCTGTGCCACGCGGTGCTGCGCTCTGGACGGCGTTGGGAGGAAGCCTTTGGACGCTCTGCGCCTTACACCGGCCTGAGAGTCCTTTCTCCCCATGCCGCGCCATCAGCAGTTGCCAGTGGCGTAGCTCGAGATTGTCACAACAGAGAGGACGGATTGTCGTCAGAGGCCTCCAATTACTACACGGCTTATTAGGGGACGATCAGCCGGCACGGCGGGGCTGTGCGGCGTGCAGTTCGCTCGCGACCCAAATCTGGCGCTTTGCTGCTGTTCAGAACGGGACCAGGGGTCCAAGGCTGCGGGGCTATTACAGGCAGTTGGTGCTCCTGGCGCGCCAAACTCGCGCGCTCACCCACTCTGTGGCCGCGACTTTTGGTGGCGTATACTAGTTCAGCAGAGCGCCCTATTGGCCCATCGCCTGCTGCTGCCCCTGTCGGCGGCCGACCTGACCTGCGGACTCAGGTACACAAGTAGTGGCGTGGGGTCCTCAGACTGCGTGTCTCCCCCCCAATCAGCTGATTCCCGGAGAGCAGACTGTCGGGTCCCCTAGGTCGGTCGGCCAGAGCAGGTGCGACGTCCCCTCGCGGAGGAGGGGGCCCGGGGCCCCCCTTACCAGTCGGGTGGCTTATCGGAATCAAATCGATTATTCCTTTTCACAATGAATGGCCGTCGAGTGTGTGTTTTCTCGAACGTGAATTGTGCATCCGTGATCCTTTTCGGCTCGGCCTGCCGGTGTTGCGGCCCTCTGTGAGAGAGTGAGAGTGTCTGTGTGGGTGCGAGCGAGAGAGTCACGTTCCTGCCGATAAACGACAACGGTCCCACGGGTTTTGCCACTGCTGCAAACAACCAATCTCTGTTGTATCATTTTTTTCTATCGACGAAAAACTGAACTCTGAGTGACCTACATGGAGCCAAAGAAAAGCGTGTCTAGCAGTCTGACTTTTTTTTTTTTTTTTTCATTCCCTGTCATTTCAAAAACTCCGAGCTAGCAAGTTACATTATGACAACGGATTCAATGCACACGGAATGCACAGAGTAAAGTATGGGAAGGGGACCGGGTCCGCCTTCCACCTGCTGGCGTCTGTTGAAATACGACGGTCCTTATCGACTACCGTTCAGGTGAAGCCTTATCAGTCCCACCGGAAGGAAACGCGTTCCTTGAAGGGAGCCCCGCGTGTGCCCGGGGCCAAGGATTCTCGAGAATAGCGTTGTAAAACAGATTTTTTGGTTCTTACGTATCGCCGTCGCCATCCGCCTCGCGCGATACCAAACATACCTAACCTCTTTATTTCCCCCTAAAACACAGCGAGTATGGGATTTCGTGCGTGTTTGCCGAGAGGGAAAAGGGTGGGGTTGGGGGGGGGGGCACGCTGCGCTGCTTTTTCGGAACACGCGGGAGGGGGATGTTTGCCCCCGCAGCGCCCCGCTACGCCCCGCCGCGCCCCACGGATGTCGTATCGAGATATGGAGCTGCTGCTTCACAGACGAGCCGACAGGTGTCGTTAGTGGAGACGTAGGGGGAGGAGGGGGTGCTCCCATTCTTCGTAACGCGCGCGCATGCCAAGCCTGCGGGCGGAGGGAGAGAGAGAGAGAGAGAGAGAGAGAGAGAGAGAGAGAGAGAGAGAGAGAGAGAGAGAGAGAGAGAGAGAGAGAGGCTGTTGACAGCAGCGGGACTATATGGCTTTGGCTACACAATGATAAAGGTTCCATTCCATTCAACATTCACTTTGTGCGTCACGGTATGGGAATGGGTGGACGAGCGCTGCACGGCGGCAGCGTTTGTTTGCAGAGCTCTAAAGGGTTCGGGAAAATATAAAGCGGGGCGCGAGTGTTTGAAGTCGCGCGGGGAAGGGAGAGAGAGAGAGGGAGCGAGAGAGACAGTCAGAGAGAGGTGGAGTCGTGCGTGACGTTCTTTCCGACTGAATGGCGATAGATGCAACTTTTGGCGCGCTTCTCTCATCACATGATCCGCCGTATCGCCGCGGGCTCGGGCCGGACCGCTCGGAGCGCTCGGGGGGCAGCGAGCGTTTTGATTTACTGTCAAGGAAACGAGCTCAGGTGAGCCCCGCCGCGCCAACGGCGAGCTCAAAGGGACTGACTTCGACAAGCAGCGGGCAGACGGACAAACGGACGGGCGGACGGACAGTCGGACAGGTGTGCGCGCGCGCCGCGCCGCCCCGGGGCATAAACAGTCGGACCGCATCCGGCCGCCGCCGCCGCCGCCGCCGCGAAAGGAGCGAGGGAGGGCGCGAAAATGAAAAGGTGACCGCGGCGTTATTCACAGATCGTCTGCGAGCGGATTGGAGGAATCGGAGGGGAAACTGCGGCGGCGGCGGCGGCCCCGGGGGCGTCTCGTCAATGGGGGGGTTCGGCGGCTTTAAGGGGCGGTGGGGCGT